ATCTTAATCAAATTATGAACTGCATACAGTTCAATCTGTATCACAATTGACAAAATCATAAACACTTAATAAAATTGAGAATGGAAATGGGGAATGTGTCAAAGAGACAACAACCCGACCATAGAACAGACAACAGCAGAAGGTCACCAACAGGTCTTCAATGCAGCGAGAAATTCCCGCACCCGGAGGCGTCCTTCAGCTGGCCCCTAAACAAATATATATACTAGTTCAGTGATAATGAACGCCATACTAAACTCCAAATTGTACACAAGAAACTAAAATTAAAAATAATACAAGACTGACAAAGGCTAGAGGCTCCTGACTTGGGACAGGCGCAAAAATGCGGCGGGGTTAAACATGTTTATGAGATCTCAACCCTCCCCCTATACCTCTAGCCAATGTAGAAAAGTAAACCCACAACAATACGCACATTAAAATTCAGTTCAAGAGAAGTCCGAGTCTGATGTCAGAAGATGTAACCAAAGAAAATAAACAAAATGACAATAATACATAAATAACAACAGACTAGTAGCAGTTAACTGACATGCCAGCTCCAGAATTCAATTGAACTGAGTGACAGATCATGTCTTCATCATATGAACATCAGGCACAATCCTTCCCGTTAGGGGTTTAGTATCATACCATCATAACATATATGAGAAGAACATAACCCGTGTCATGCCAACAACTGGTTTTTAAATAAATGTGTTTAGTGCCGATGCAAAGACCCTATAAGTGAATCAATATTAACGCCAAAATATGCAATCTTTAATGACCTGACAACAGTATCGTAACTATATCACTTCTTAATAAGTCTATTTAAAGGTTTTGTTAGCTTCAGAGGTGAATACTGACATTTTTGTGTTTTATAAAGAATATTTCAATAAAAAATTGGATGTGAAATACCTGAACGTATAAGAAGTCTGCATGTTGAGCTATATTTACGAATGATGTCCTTATACCGATGATAAAATTTAGTAAATGTTTTGACTAGTTTGTGATATCGAAAACCCTGGTGTAATAATTTTTCAGTAATACATAAATTTCTCTCGTTAAAATCTAAAACATTGTTACATACACGAGCGAATCGTACAAGTTGAGATATATAAACACCGTAAGATGGTGACAAGGAAACGTCACCATCTAAAAATGGATAATTAACGATAGGAAATGAAAAATCATCTCTTTTATCATATATTTTAGTATTAAGCTTTCCGTTAATGATATAGATATCAAGATCGAGGAAAGGGCAGTGGTCATTGTTAGTATTAGCTTTATTTAAAGTAAGTTCAATAGGATAGATTTCTTTAGTATACATACTGAAGTCGTCATTATTGAGAGCCAAAATATCATCCAAATATCTAAAAGTATTATTAAATTTGTGTATCAGATGTTGTTTCGATGGGTCTTTGCTGATTTTTGTCATAAATTGTAACTCATAGCAATACAAAAAAAGGTCCGCAATAAGTGGTGCACAGTTAGTCCCCATTGGAATTCCGATAACCTGACGATATACGGAATCTCCAAAGCGAACAAAAATGTTATCTAGTAAAAATTCAAGGGCATATATAGTATCAAAGCATGTCCAATTGACATAGTTTTTTTGTTTATTGCTACTAACAAATGACCTAAAAGAGTTTGAACATATATATTCACATTCTGACTTTTTAAATGCCCATTTAATTAGGTGTGTGAATTTTTTCTTAATGAGAATGTGAGGCAATGTGGTATATAGGGCAGAAAAATCAAAACTTTGAACAGATTCAAAATCACCAATATATGCATGCAATTTATCAAGTACTTCCAACGAGTTCTTGACACTCCAAAAGTAATTAATTCCACTATTTTCGAAGGCCTTATTTGAACAATTTATTATCAGGTTTTTGATTGTACCAAGTGTACTAGTAAGAAGAATAGACAATTTAGTAGTGGAACAGTGGCTTGAAGACGAAATGAATCTATATTTGTAAGGTGTTTTGTGTAGCTTCGGAAGCCAAACATAGTTGGGACTTTCATTGTATTTGGTTCTGCTTGTAAAGCGGTAGCTAAAAGTTTATGTTTGTTACAGATGTCGTTTTCTGAAAATGGAGTCAGTTGGAATGTTGGTGAATTGGTGATTTCTTTTTTCAGAACCTCAATGTAAAATTTACGTCAAACAATAATAATATTATTAGCAGCTTTATCGGCCGGGACAAAAACAAATTCCTTGGCTAGTTCTTTTAGTTTATGTTTGATACGAGAAATACGTTTATTGTGGTTATTGTTAAGAGTAAAATGTTCTTTAAAATGTTGAATACGTATATCAACTATGTTCATTACTGATTTAAAAAAAGAGTCCAAAGATTTTTTGTCAGCTTTTTCCCGTTTTATCCATTTCAAACAGTAAGTATGGAGTGAGTCGTGGATGATATTACGACACTCATTTCAATTAATAATTGACGGGGGACGATATTTAGGTCCTTTACTGAGGAAAGCCCATTTTTCATCGTGAAATTGTCAAATTGCAAATACACATCTGAAGGAATAAGTTACCCTTACCACCATCTAATTTATACGTCCAGACTCATGTAGGACGTCATAATTTATTTATCACTGAAGAGTTTTTATTATAAAAATAAAAAGATTTGGTATGATAGCCAATGAGATAACTCTCCACCAACGACCAAATGATGTAGAAGTTAACAATTATAGGTAACCGTACGGCCTTCAACAATAAGCAAAACCCCACGCATAGTAATCTATAAAGGTCTCGAAATTACAAATGTTAAACAATTCAAACGAGAAAACTGAAGGCCTGATTTAGGTTGAAAACAACAAACGAAAAACAAATATCATGAATATGATATACAGCAACAAGCGACACCCACTGAATCAAAGGCTACTAATTTGGGTCAGGCACATACAGAATGTTGCGGAGTTGACCATGTTTGCTGGTTCTTCCCCAACCTGGGATAGTGGTGTAACAGCACGACATAAGCTTACTTTCTGTTACTGAAAACATTATTTTATTCATCATCATTTGGTTTGGTGTGTGTCCTTTATTCCGCAATTTTAGAGCTAGGAACTTTCCTGTGTTGGTTTTGTTGTATAAGCTTTAGAGCAAGTATTGTTAAATTTCTAATCGGTACAAATAAGGAAGACAGTTGAGATCTAAAGAAAACAAGTTTAATACCGCTTAATTTTGCTGTTTCTGACTCAGTTGAGGAACGTCTTGCGTAGTTGTCATATGTCATATGTTAATGTTTCATTGGTTGTTTTTTTAAGAAAATGTTTTTATTTCTTAACACTTTAAACGAGTCAAAATACGTTACTTTGTAAATGCAAACAAGACAAAATGAATTTCTTTTTTGTTTCACTCAAAACCAGGCAAATCGTCTAACTACTACTTGATTTATCTGACAAAAAAATCAAGAACGAAGCAAAAGTGTCGTGTGCACAAAAATGATGTATAAAGTTAAATCACTCTGTCCTAGTAGATGTCTCTACTGTGTGACTGCTTATTTCAAAGTTTACCATATATCTTGTACCCAAGTGATCAACTACCTGCTTGATTAAATTATACATTTTAAATTAGGATTTCTGTTAAATAATAAGGTAATGTAAAGGTTACAAATCAAACAAGCACAATTTTTTTAGTTTTTTATGTTGTGTGTTGTGTACTGTTGTTTATCTGTATTCTGTTGGAATTTTTATTTTTTTCCAAGCCGTTGTCAGTTTAATTTCAAATTATGATTGAATGTCCCTTTGGTATCATACCCTTCCCTTTTTTAAATCGATTTTCTGAGTTAAGTTTAATTCAAAGTGTATATATATCTGGCTGCTCAAACTTTTGGTATGGTTTGTTCTGATAAATTGTATTACGGGACTTGTCTACCTATAAATGTATTGACTCTTTTAATCGAAAATGTTGTAGTTTTGAATAAAATAATGTTTTAAAACGATTTTTATTGTGTTACTATATCGAATTGCCTTAACCATATGTGGATAAATGACGAACATGTAAAATGTTAAGTGTCATAACAAGAACTATATTAATTTACAAATGATCTGCTCATGTGTATTAAAGTCAGGGTTTAATGACACTGTTGATTGATTAAATACAAGCTGTCAACTTTAATTTTTTTTATCACTGTTTATTGGTATATTTGGTTGTTTTCACTACAAGATAAACAGATATCAGGAAATATTTTGAGCAATGATAAGCGTGCAGCGAATACATTTCCAGATAGCGCATTCTACTTTAAGGAGCCTTACAACATTAATAGGATGGTATGCCCGAAACATATTATTATAATCTTAAAATCTAGATATTATACATTAAGCAACTCGACGGGTGCCACATGTGGAGCAGGATCTGCTTACCCTTCCGGAGCACCTGAGATCACCCCCAGTTTTTGGTGGGGTTCGTGTTGCTTAGTCTTTAGTTTTCTATGTTGTGTCATCTGTAATATTATTTGTCTGTTTGTCTTTTTATTTTTGGCCATGATGTTGTCTGTTTGTTTTCGATCTATGAGTTTGACTGTCCCTCTGGTATCTTTCGTCCCTCTTTTATAGTTGAAAAATAATGGTACTTGATTTTATTACTCATCGTCGTCAATGTGTTTGCTGCGAGTTGTTTATGATTTTTTATCCAGAAGATAGAGGTCCCCAACTAACTGTAAGACACTTAACTAAATATAGTTTCGTCATTGCATAATTTAAAAAAAAAAACCTTAATCCATCGATTCCTTTTGGTATTCAATAATACCAAACGGCATTACCTCAGATATTTAGATATAAGAATTCAATCAGTGGAACGCAAAATACTATATTTACACGAACAAGAGCTACGTGTTTATTCTATCAAAACAAAAGGCAGTACATGCATGATTTAAAAGATCTGATAGAGATTTTCTAATACCGGTTTTATTTCTATTTTATCTTTACAACAATACAAAGAATCTAGAAATTCCTCCTTTAAAAAAATACATCATTCTTAACAATTCAAATAAACTAATAAATATTTAAAACAAATTTCTTGGAAAAAATTTAACTTACTTACATAAATAATAAAACGTATAAATAAGTCAAATATTGAATCAAGGTAAGTGTGAAGATAAATAGCGAACAAAAATAGTAAACACACAACACAACAACAAATTAATAATAAAACGAAGCTTTTTCCCCTTTATAATGCTCGGTTTTTTCCACACATTTTATACATTTCTATTTTTATTCCTTAAAGTGAGATGATCGTTAAGTTATCAATTATCCGTTACAGTCAACTATTACCGTTCTGTTTATATTTATCACCTGAAAAATAAATCAGAAAGGAAATTAGATAGTCTATGATTTATGGTAATGTCTGAACTATCAAAATACATTTGTTGAAGAAGACAGTCAACATCACACAATAAAATCAAAGGCATAACGACCAACACTAGAATGAAAAACTAGACATTGCGCGAAATGAACTCAACAAAAATGCAAATTTTCAATAATTGTTTAATAACTTTTGAAACAAAGGTCAATTCACCCAACACATTTCTGAAATAACCTTTCAAAAAGTCAAATGAGATGTGTTTTGGTCAATGCTGGCCAATGGATAAATTCTTTTTAGAAAAAAGATTAGTATTACATAAACCTCCTAATATTTCATCAACTTCTGAAACCAATGAAGGCCTAACATGTCGTTCCCCGTGGATATCCGAATTCTAGTTCAAGAGTAACGAATTAAACTACAGGGAAATAAATATTTTTACAAATATGTTTTGATGACTCGTTTGGTGATTTGATGTAAAACTTCGAATTATTAAAACGAAGAAATATGTTGAGTAGGATCCTTTCATTATCTTAAAATTTCACAAGTCAAGGTCAATATTAAATTAATCTAAGATAAACGTTGGTTTACATTTTCAATATACACGACATTTTCCACGAATAACATAAACGAGGTAAATTAAGATGTTGTTTGGTCAATAATGTGCTAAGGATTAAATTCCATTTTTAAAAATGATTAATGGAATGAGTTTTATGTACTAAATTTTGTAGATAATTAAATTTTCCAATAGAATAAATGGATTGAAAATTTTCATGTTTAACCCACCGATTTAAACAGGCGGATCATTAAAATTTTTTTAAATAGCCAAACATAAAATATTTGATAGCATTAAAACAAAATAAGACAAAGCACAATAATTTGTTATGGATTAAATTCCATTTCTCAAAATAAACAATGGATTCTGTTATGATTTTTACCTACTTAATTTTGTAGATCATTAAAATTTCAAATGAACAATCATTGATTGAAAATTTGCAATTGTAACCAACCGATTTAAAAAGTAAAAAAACCACCAAAAAAACAAAGAAAATTCGAAATGGAAAGTCCCTTAACAAATGCCAAAATCAAAAGCTCTAACACATCAAACGAATGGAAATCAACTGAAGTACAAAATGTATTCCTGACTTGGTTCATGTATTTTCTTATGTAAAAAATAGCGGTTTAAACCTGGTATAATAGCTAGGTAAAGCTCTCACTTGTATGACAGTTGCATAAAATTCCATTATATTGACAACAAATTGTGAACAAAACAATCATTTAGAATCATTAACATGTGTTTAAACAGGCAACATACAAAAATGTGATAGCATTCAATTAAAATTGGGTAAAAAAGAATCAATATCTTCTAAGGTGAGTTCAGCCCGAAGAAATTTTAAAAAAAACTTAGTTTAAACCCGATTTCATAGTTTTATGAACTTAAAACTTGCAAAAAAGTATGCAATTGTGACAACATTTAATTCAAATTTACTTGTCTGATAATATAAGTAAAAATTTGTGATTTTAGATTCCACTCAAAAGTTTGAAATCGGGTTGAATGCACAAATTCAAATCTCAATAATATAAAGTGTTACATTTTGGTAGAATTTGAAATGTCCTGCATGAATATACTGCGTTCAAAATACAGTTAAAAGTTCATTATCGGATTACAAGTCTGAGCTTTTTCTATTCGCCACTCTTTCCAACAGTAAAAGTTAAGATATTCTACATGCAGTAATTGATTTATAGATGTTCTTTTGAGTTAGATATCACATTACTGTATAGACGACCATATGTCAATGACTTAATCTGAAATCGTTCTAGTGTGAAGGGAGAATAAGGGGCAGTAAGAGTACTACATATCATGATCTTGGATAAAAAAAAACTTTATAATTATAAACGCTGTGTAAAACATATATCCTGAAAACATGTAGATATCGGAACGACTATGCACTAGATTTTAAACTACTATGAAAAAGTATTAATCAAAAGAAGACCGTATTTTCACTCTTCCTAGTATTTACTATAACATCATAACAATGTAAAATTCATTACCAAGGCTTCAGCAGACTCTTACCATCATTTTCAATTTAATCCGTATACTGAACACAGATCTTTCTTGCAAAATCAAAGCCAGTTTTCTCATATGGTTTTACTTCATCTTTAAATTTGAAGCACCTTGCTCCATCAAAATGAACAGCACCACAGTCGTCTGACTTGATACAATTATTCTCACATTCTTTGAGAGAGGATACTTCTTCCCAAACTGTTTCAATTTCATCGTCACGTCCTTTTGCATTTTTCGTGGTGTTCATGTAGCATAAAACGCAACGTTTCACATAGAACTGGCTTTCATTGATATCGTCTTCAATATGTTGTTGTAAATTGTAAACAAAACACACGCTATTTTTTGTCAAATATCGGAAGGCCCTGCAATCTTTTGGTCGTTGCATAGCCCTTCGCATTTTTCTATATTATTTACTCTATCAACTTTTATGACATTTTCATCTAAGCCTTTCATTCCATCGATTCTATGAGTATTACATTTTAGGTCTGTAAATAGAAAAAAAAATGTAATATATATTTTACTTATTAAAGCTTTCCTGTAATATATTTAATAATTTCGAGTACATAAATGTGCAAATAAATGAATTACTATTTAAATAATGTTTAATGTACAGCAATTGTATGAAACGAAAACGGTTTTCAGCAAACCTCAAAAAGATGAGTCAACCAAATTTTTGATCAAGTGAATTTCGAATCGCAGCGTCTGACGATTTTGCTTTCTATATGTAAATATGCCTTTTCCTTGATATAGCTTATCCAAACACTTTGATCACTATGTTTGCGTTGTGTAATAAGAAATACCTTCTTCTTTACTCCCGCATATAGCTGCACACAATGGTGAAACAGTAGAGGCCAATACCATTTTACCCGTTGCCCCAACACCGGTAACGCCAACCGATTGTAAAAAGGCAAACCAGCTTCCGGCCTTCACAACTCCTATCATAGACATAATTTTAGCAGCAAGAGATCCAGGAACAACACCTGCGGCGCCAAATCCTGATGCTGATATTGCCAATGGGGTTGCAACAACTGCACCTGTACCAACTGCTGCCAAACACGTGGTGTAACATGTGACATCTTCCTTTTTCCAATTCCATGGCCAATCTAAACCTGGTAAATTATTCGTAAATAAAGTATTCATATCCTTGGAAGAATATATTCAGTGAAGTTGTCATTAAATTTTCAAACTCAAATAGTATTTACTGTTACATTATAGAATTTACATTTTTTGCAACTGTAAAGGCCAATACTTCGACTGACATAAACAAAATTAAGGTCTACATATTTCTTTTTATGATTTATGATTTTATGTTACAGAACATTATGGTTTTTTTTTCTTTCTGTTCCACAGTACAACCAGGAATCAAATTTAAGACCCTTGTGCAGTATAACGCAACTTCACTGCCTACAAAAAGGCAAAAGGTTCGCTCTCTCTTGTATTTTTCTTGAAATTATATACGCATTCAAGACAAAAATATTGTCATGTCATTTACAAATGTTGCTCAATGTTGTAGGCTGTACAGTGGCATATAGCTGTTTACATGCACGTCATTTGAACTCAACTTGATAGTTGTCCGATTGAAAAGTAAACCTATCTCTTTATTTTGATACAAATTCTACTAGTAAACTAATTTTGAACCGAAACGACCTTTTTGATTTGAACTGCTCTTAAAAAAAACTGAACAATAAATTATTATTTCATTTTAGGTCTTTTAGACAATTTTCAGACTTATCAACCGCGGAAAATTCAGCACTGTGAAGACATTTCGCTTGCAATAAAATTCTTTGATATGACTGGCGAATTTATTTTTCGGAACTTTTCAGATGATGTTAAGATCAAAATGACCGTTTTAGACTAAAATTCATTTAAAAGTGTCGGCGCCATCGATAAGTCCATGCTCGTGTACGTGTTCATAAGTAAATCTCCGTATTTTACAACGTTATAGCATTAATGGAACCATTTCACTGCACCAGATGCGCAATTCGACAATAATTGTCTCAATAGGGATGCTCGACGCCAATATATTTGAAAATCCAAAACTTCTAAAAAAAAATTAGGAGCAAATGCTAGTTAATCTAAAGGACAACGAGTATATCCAAAACCGGGTTATACTACATAAGCTTCCATCTTGCAATTAATATAGATCCACTTTACTATTAAAAGGGTTAATATTTGCAATTGATCATGAAACCCATATGTAGGATCAATTGTACACGCGTTTTCATGACTATATCCGCCTTCAGAATCTTTAGACTCGCTTCAGCGACTATGTCGAATCGACACAAAAAAGGTATTTTCCATTATAAAATGTGGAACTCGTCAAACTAACCGATATGACCTTTGAGATCACTCTTATAATTAACGTAAATCAAATTATTTTCAGTTCGTTTCAAAAGTTATTAAACATGTCGTTTGTGCTGATTTATTTGTAATGTTTCTTTCTTAACTAATCATAAATCTAAAGGAGGCTAAAGCGTTCAGTTTAAAACAAAATTGTTTCACGTATTAGTGCGTCGTCCCAAGTAAGTAACTTACCCGGTGGCATTCATAATTAAGATAATAATGTCTTCCTCTTAATGAATTAAGTGTTGAAGGAAGAACTGATGTAGTCATTGTTTGATTAGTTCATTTTTTTTCAATCTATGTAAAATATCCCCAGTGCAAATAGTGACCAAATAGTCATCATAAAGAAAAAAATTTAATTTTCGAACACTTCAGGAGCCACCTATTTCTATTTCTGCATAGCATGTATTAAACATAAATTTTTAAATTCTTCTAATTCATTTACGTGATTAATTTGTCGTGGGCATTAACCGCTCATTAGAAAAAGGAAAAAATTGGAAATGCCATTGGACATTTCTTATCACACAAAATTCTATTTATTGATGATTTGGAATAATATCCAGATTAATTTTATAACGAGTATGTCAGTTTTAGTTATATCTATACTTACAGAAATGTTTTTTTTTTATGAGTTATATAAAGTAGAAATAATTCTAGATGTTCACAAATTTAAACAGTATATGACATAGACTTATTTTCTTTTAAACATACAATACCGTTATTGCACCGACACCAATAGATAAACATCTTAACACCGTCTATCAGTCTACCTTACCATACACTCCACGGTTGAATGACACAACATTAAATGCTAATATACACAATGCTTTGCCTAGTAACATCTTAAGCCCTAGCTGTAGATGGTTCAAAATCTGTTAAAGAAAATGAACATTCAGAATTTCCAATGTTGTGGCCAAGACAATATTTAATTTAAATGTTAAAAACTAATTGTTTAAATCATTGATTACATAAATTATATATGAACCATGTTTGTGCATTAAGAAATAATCTCTTGTCAATAGCCGTACAAAGTACAATAAAGCAAGGACGAATATTAAAGTATAGGTCCTAACAAAACCATGTATTTAACTATTATAAAGATTTAAAATATGTCCATACAAATTTTAAAGCGGACACAAGGGAAAATAACTTGATACCAGGAAAAGGATATAATCCGGGAGTTCTAATAAATCATCATTGGCATCCAACACTTACTAACTACTTACATCATTTTGGAAATATATTTTTTCGTCAGTCGCGCTCACAGCCAGTTTTAAAAAATGAGAATTAACACACACATAAAAACGACGAATATTGAAAACCAACAGCATTTCTTTACACTTTTTTATATTTCAAATCTCAAGGATGTTCGCTACTCTTTTTTTTTTACTTTTTGTCATATATTCCGAATTTGCTTGGTTTTTTTTTCTTGTAATTTTTAAAAATCCTTGATATTTTTTCATTATTTTTTAAAGAAAAAAGGTGCCATTGTTAAATGTATGAAAAATCTAGAGTGAATCATTTTTCACAAAACTTTCAATTGATTATATATTTAATCACGAACATGGACCTGTCATTTCATTCTAATTTTTGAGTTCTGTGATCATATTATTATAATTTTAATCAGTCTTTTAAACAGCTTGTTTTTTTTTAAAACAGAGGACCGAACATCCTTAAAAAAATCTATGTGTACTTTTTCTAAATGAAGAAGAGTATTTTTATATATACAGCAAAATAAGACAACAAAAGATGTATTACAAATCAGCTGAACCCTCATCTATTTGCTGCGCACTATATTTGTGACAGGCTAAGCATGAATATAGGCATAAACAAATTAACCAATATGTTATCCATGACTTTCTTCAAATTTTAAATTAAAACGAGGAAGATTTATGAAGATATTTTAGTCAAGAAATCTACAGGAAGCAGAGAAATTCTCGTTGTGAGCTATTCTTGTAATTGTTACTTATTTTGTTATAACTGCATGACAAGTATTCCGTCAATATCGAGAATCGAGATTAATGAAAATGTATACATTATACGATGGCAACAACTTCGAACTCGGAAAGATTTTTTTTACCGATACAGTAAAGTCAAGGAATCCTTTTTGTCCTTTAGGTTCGTACATACTCTTAAATGAACGATCTTATGAAACCTAATGAAATTATCTCCCAGCATTGTATCCGTAGTGTCTCCAATTACTCATGACCTTATACTCGAAGTAATCGATTTCTATTACAAATTGTCTCCACAAATAATATTGTATTTAAACGTTTTATACATTAGTAATGCTTTTATGTTAAATATGTATGTGTACATTGAATTCAGAAAAATTGTGTATTTTAAATACTCTATTCAGACTCTCGAGTAGTTAACATATTTAAATGGGATGCTTCGTATATTTTCTAATCCGATTTCCAGTTTTAGTGAAACGGCTTCCATTGCACTTGAATGAATTTGTCGATAAATAGTATTAAGCAAAACACCAGTTCGGTATTGTTATTGCACCTAGTAGTTTGTATGTAAGTAAATATGTAACAGTATGCATAAAATAGAAATAATAATCATGTGCCGATATTACCTTTTCAATTAAATGTCGACGTTTTACAGTGTTGTCAAGCGGGCAATGACAATAAATATAGTATGAGTCGGAAGTTTAAATTTGTGATATGCGCATATGATGGTTTAAATATATTTCATTGGAAAACCCCTTTCACAGAAATAACATTAAATTAGTGTTGTTTGAAAGTTAAAGGTTGCACTTTTGTAATAAGAATCATGTAATTTAAAAGCGACTTTTCCATGATAAAGTAAAACTATAATAAAATGTTTGCATCAACATTTTTTTTGCAAATCAAAAATACAGAGCAACATAGCATGTTTCGACATATACATGCCTTCATCTTTAATCAAATTACCTAAACTAATTTCACCAACCTTTTTATATTTGATGATATTTAAGATTTCAATTAAACCACTGTCCAACTGTGTTTAAACAAAATAGAATATACTATTTCAATTTCAACCTAATGAATGTTTTCTTAGGACTGACGGCGTAAAAACGTCTGTCAAACAATTTCTACAAATATGATTGAATATATTCTTCCCATCACTAAATAAAGGCAACAGTAGTATACCGCTGTTCGAAAGTCATAAATCGAGTGAGAGGAAACAAATGCGGGTTACAAACTAAAACCGAGGGAAACATCAACTACAAGGGGAAACTAATGGAACAACAGTAACACTGAAGTGCAACAAAAACAAACGCAAAAGCAACACACATAGAAACAAACCAATAACAGTATATAATACCAGGCCCCGGCGCAATAAAACTATTTGAGTAATATTTTTTTTTGCTCAGCATGAGAATTTTCTCATTTTTTTTATTCTCAGCACAATACACCGCCATAAAAAAATTCTCAGATATTTTTTTACTCAAAGTTAAGAATAATCTGAAATATTTGAGTATAGTCAAAACCATACTTAAGTATAAAAAAAATTCTTACATGTTGCTATTGACGGTATTTTGATATAAAAAATTACAACTGTTAAAAGGGTTTTTGTTAAAATTTTGTTAAAATTTGCATGGAAGAACGTCACTTATCTGCACAAATAAAATTGTATCCGAAAAAACATACACATCTTTACTCAGTCCAACATTTTTTGTTTGGTTAACGTTGTTTTTTTAATATATTTTTTTAGGATAAATACTCAATATCAATTTTGTCAAAAACTGTAAAAATTGAGGTTTCAGGCTTTTTCCAGGGTTCATAATTTGTTGATTTATTTAAAATAATCAATCATTCTGTTGTTAGAACAATAAAAAAGTACATACGGTGCTGTGATACGATGAATTTTAGAAAAGATTGAAAGACTTTTTAAATCTAGTGTGAAATAGCTTCACTGCTCCTTTGTTGTTGTATGAAATCACCCACATTTTAGTGGGCATCGGATATTTGAGCGAAAATAATGATGTGATGGGATGCCAGAATCTCAAAATAATTGGAAGCCAACATCCAAATGCTGAGGTTTTCAATATAGAATTAAAAGAATTACATCAGCATCTGTCAAAGGTGAAAATGCCATTTTAATATTTTTCTTCATTTTCTGTAGACACTTTTCTAAAATATGCTATAAACAGAATTGATAGTGTTTTAAAAAAAACAATCTAACAAATACAAAAGTTATTTAATATAATCATGAGAGCATCCAATATCTTTTATAACCAATAAAATCCATATGCAGCATCTGCTATTCATAGAAATAAATGAATAAGTATGAGTTTTGTAAAATGAGTATAAATATATTGATACTATAAAAAAATGCAATATAGTAGAAATATTCCAAATATGGCCGTAACATCTTCTTTGAACATTGAACAATTTAGTAGCATACAACATATTTTGACCTTTATTGTCTTATAATTCTGTGATAGCATATGAGAATTAAAAATTTGTTGGTTGTAGCATATTAATCTTATCGAATTTTAAAAGAGATCACAAAAAAGCGACCAATTAAACAGCTTCTCATTGTAGATACTTCTACTCTACATGCTCTAGTAGTATTATGCATTATATATCCCGCTTGAATATCAGATCTTTATTTGAAATTACCCAAGATTTACGAGGTGATTTACAGAATAGAAAATAACACCCCCCCCCCCCCCCCACGGCCCCCAACAAAATTAAAGAACAAAATGTGCAAAAAAAATTAAAGAAAAAAGACTGAATAATTGGGTGCTAAAATGTATATTTTTTTATATAAAAATTAAGAATAAGGTAAAACGAATGAAATATTGAACTGGTCGTAATAGGAATTAGTCAATTGATGTACGTAAGTGATGCAATTTCTGTACATTCGTAAGCATCAGTATTTTGCTCCAAAATCACGATCTTGCATGAAGAGTTTACAAATCTTGACGTATCATTTCGTCCCCTATTGCAGTCAAAGTCAACCTTGCATCCTTCTCATGTATTGTGTCAGAAATGATTACACATTACAACACTGATAAAACAGTTCGTGACAGAGGTCAGACCAAAATGACCATTGACAACAAATAGCTCTGCAATAGTGGAAAACAAATTGCCAGCATGCTTACTACGTCTTCGGTTTCAGATTTGTAAGATCCATTATTCATTGCAATTTAAAACCTCAATTGTTTGGTCAGGTCTATTTGACTGATACTCGAGGACGGATAAATAGGCAATATTTTTTATTTTGTTGGACAGTTGGTCTATCAAGGATAAAATCTAGTTCAGGAGGTCGATTTTTTTTCTATTAGTTTTCAGGTCTCTCTTCAAATAATACTTTTTACAAATTACTACAGCTACCTTAATTAGATTGCAGTACTGGTACCTCATATCTACAAACCAAATACATGTAATGTCACCCTATCTACTGATCATTATCTCAGATATCCAAATTACTACAAAGAAAGTATAATAATTTCCCCCTTTTTGGTTTTAAACAGATATTAGTCAAAATTGTCATTTGTGCAGTACAGTGACAGATTTGGGGAGGGGAAAGAGGGGATGGGTTGTATTACTGGGTAGTGTCGTCATACATATGTCTTTGATACAGAAAAAAATCTATCATGTCAAAACATGATACAGAAGGAAATTTCCATATGCACATTTAATCAAGAATCATTTACAGAATAAACCTTTCTTACTGGATAGAGATAAATGGCCAATAGAATTACAGAATATGAACAAAATTGAACACGCTCCCCCCACTCCCCCTTTCCCCTTATCAAGACCCTCATATATCATTGTGACGGATAATTTTGTTTGTTCTATTTAACTGTTTTTATGTTCGAAAACAATATTTGTACAAGGTGTTGTCAATAAATGTAATGGACAATACCGTATATGCCATGCCTTCTCACACGACGTCGTACTTTCATTTTCTCTTCCTGTGCAATGTATTGAACTCATTATGAGGATCAATTGTTATGACTACTTGCATAATTGTTAAATCGTATTCAATTCTGTATCAAATTTATATTAATTTTAAAAGTTACATATCTTGAATATTAAAAACAGATTAAAACCATTTACTGGCATTCATATTGATATAAAAATATCCGGTATGTAGTTTTTTTTTTGTTATGTTTTGTTTTTTTTGTTTTTTTGTTTTTTTTTTTGGTTTATTATGATCTGAGAAAAAAACAATTGGCTTAAAATTGTCACATTGTGTCTTCTTATGTCGTCTGAATACATAATGTATGTCATTGATCCGTAATATCTTTATTTGGCATACCATACTCGATAGAAGTGCGGACGTGAAAGAAAGCACTCTTCACGTAAACGTCAACAAAGGTTACATTCCAAGGACATTACATTTCGAAGATTTCGCCATTTATAAAACATAATCATTAATACGTGTATCTTAAGACAGAAGTTGTATGAGAAATATAAAAAGTAATATATATTTATAACAAGCTCTAGGTTAATAACTCAAATATTTCAAGATCTTTCTCTTATAATTTCAAACAATTGTCCACAAATTATTTGTGACTTTATATTCTGTGACTTTTTGTCAGGACTGTGACTTTCTGTCCATTTACCGATGCTTACAAAATGCTACTTATCATGTTATCTATCATAGATTCTGTTTATGTTTTACAGTGTTGCTAAAGAGATGAAACCTGCGTTTTTGCAAAGTTAGGTACACTTTTTAGTTTTCAAACATCTATTTTACCGCTTACATGACTGAGAAAAAAATTCTCAGCTGAGAAAAAAAAATTCTCAGCTATGAATATTCTCAAAGTTGAGAATATTTTTTTATGGCAGAGAAAAAAGTTCTTATTCTTAGCTGAGTAATATAATTCATTCTGAGAATATTTTTTTACTCAGAAAATATAGTTTTATGGCGACGAGGCCAGTTGCTAGCATTTTGAATTATACAAGATCAAAGTACCATAGATGCTTGGAGGCAGTATATCTGGTTTACTTATTCATAAATCAAACTTGTTACATTAACCATTTGCAAATCAGTTGTAGCTGTTAAAATTTATATAACCAACTCAATGCAGGTTTTTAACGCAATTTACACGTAACTTTGTTAAAGTATCCCTTAATTCTGTAGAAAACCATCTTATTCCAGCAGAATTCGTTATCTAAATGAAGCGCAAAAAACAGTTTGACACGCTTCTATAAATAGTTGTCTAATTATCAGATTTCCATATAATTGTATTGTTTATTTCATTTGTCTTTTGTTACGTTTGGATAACTTATTTGAATTTTTTTTTCTTAAAGATGCAATAAAAAAATGTTGTTTCAAGTATGACATTTGTGACGTGCCAGTTTGGTTTTTTAACATCACTTTTCGTTGCGAAAAAACCTACTGTAAAGCATATATGACAGTTACCTTACGGACACAATACGATTAGGAAAGCGGGTATGTTACCGCTTAGAAATGGGAGATTGACGAATGAAAATTTGACAGACTCAGCAAAGTAATCCCCCCCAAAATGAATATTTTGTGTGTAGACATAGTTTTTAATAACGAATTACACAGACAGTGATAGAAATGTTTGAATAACTGTTGCATGCCATAATGATTGAAGAACAGATTGTCTTAACCTTATTGTTCACGTTCGGAATTTTCGATTATTACTGCTTTTTAACTTTTTAAATTCATTTGGCTGTCCAACTATTTTGATTCGAGTGCCACTGATGATTCTTATGTACAAACATCTGGTGTACTGATTATGAGATTGAAATATTTGATGAGTTTTTACACTATATGTCACAAGCATAAAGTTGAGGGACAAAGTGATAAGGTCTTATTATATTTAATATCTGTGACACAATGACTTGACTACAAAAGATATTATTTCAGTCGTACTTACCTCCAAGCTATCACAAAAATATCAAATGTCAGGAAAAAATATAAGCCATGGTTGGCTTATAGGATGCGATTTTAGGATACCCTCAACTACACTGGGAGCCTAGATATTGCCGACCCGTAACAAATTATTTCAATATTGTAACATTTCAACAGCTTTGACAATAAATGATGTAGTTAATTCTAATTCTTAAATAGTTTGCTGTGAAAAGTTCTTGAATTTTTAGTCAGAAGGCTAAGGTCACTAACTTACTTTTTCACAGCAAGCAAATCATTGAATAATTTGATCTATGCTTTACACAGCTATTTCCTAAGGTATCGAATTTGAAGGATACAATTGAAACTTGAAGGTCTGCTTCATGATGATTTCTACAACTGTCCAATTGTCAATCTTCCATTTCTTACCGGTAACATGCCGTCTTTCCTCATCGTATGGTGTATACATATCTGAATGGATACGTTTAGCTCGTGCATTTTCTCGCTAAACAAACTTTGTTACCAGAAGGGTGCTCCTAATATAAAAGATTCCATCAGCGTTATGATGAAGAACGAATGACATTGACAATACTTGTTAACGGTTGCCAACCTAAATTTGTTGACCAATACGAAAGATTTTCAACTAACCTAACTTCCAACATGTTTTTCCGCAGTCTTCGATCTTCGTATACCAGAACAGTCATGTGATCTCTTATTTTATCGATTGACGCTATTCCCAATTCTGACATGTAGTGGATTCGTATGACGGATGCTGAATGATTAGCAGGAGATACTTACACTGTCGATGCGTTCAGAGTCGCTCCTTTTCGAGTTCATGCGATTCCTTCAATTTTCATTTGATACTTTGCTTTGAATATTCTATGAACTATTTATGAGGTTCAAACATCGGTAAACTACTGATTCCAGAGTTCAATGGCGACAAATGACAAGAACTTAGAAATTTAAAAGATAAATATTCAATGAACGCAACGCAATCTAATTTGTGCATTTTCCCATGACAAACGCTAGTTTTTCTTTTAAAATAAATGAATGGTATGATCTTCATAGTTTGATATTGGATTTCTCATACACTCTTTACCAGTCTATTTTTTATTATTATCATTCATGCACTTACACAGAATACACCAAAAATCTATAATTTCATGGTTTCTAATTGTTTTAAACATTTACGTTGTTCCATAAAAAACAAAATGTATCTAATACTAACTAGCCCAAAAAGAGAATTCAGTAAACCATGAAGATGGGCGACTAGCTGAAATTAATGTTTTTGCTGCGATTTATTTCAGAATTTCAAGCAGAAGATAGAGTTTCAAAACTAACTGTAGGACACTAAACCAAATATAGTTCCTTCACTGCCTAATTTAAACCGTAATTTGTATATGTATACCTTACGGTGTTCAATTATTACATACGACTTTACCTCAGATATTTTGATATTGATATTCAATCATAGAAACGCAATAATTTATGTACATGTACACGAGCTATATGTGTTATTTTCTATCTCAATAAAAGACAGCATATGTATGATTTCAAAGATCTGGTACAGATTTTCTCATACCGGTTTTATTTCCATTTTATATGTACAACAATTCAATGAATCTAGAAATTCCTTGTTTAAAAACAATACATAGTTCTTAACAATTTATATAAACTAATACATATTTAGAATAATTTTCTCAGGAGACAAATTTGACTTACTTACATAACCAATAAAATTTAGAAATAATAAACCATAGTCAAATATGGAATCCAAGGCAAGTGTGAAGATAAATATAATGAACACACAACATAACTTCAAATAAATAATAAAACGACATTGGTTTTTTTAATAACAGTACTTCTTTTCAACACTTTTCCTACATTTCTATTTTTATTCCTTAAAGTGATATAATCTTTCAGTTATCTGTTGCAGTCAAGTATAACCTTCTGTTTATATCGATCACATGAATAATTGATTAAGAAAAGTGATTAGATAGTCAATGATCTATGGAAATGTTTAAACTATCAAAAAACATTTGTGGAAGAAGACAGTCAACATCACACAAAAAAAAGGCTAAAAGAAAAAATACTAGAGTAAAAAACTAAAAATTGCAAGAAAAACACAAATTTTTAATAATGGTTTAATAACTTTTCAAATCAATGCACACTTCACTTTTCTGAAATTACCTTTTAAAAAGTCATATGAAATGTGCTCTGGTCAATACTGGCCTAATTTTTCGAAAACAAAGATAAGTTTTATATACTTTCTAATGGTTCATCAACTGGTTAAACCAATAAAGGACTAACATGTCGTTTCCCGAATATGCACGATTTTTATTTAAGCATTTAATGAACTAATAGTAGGTATTTAACGAATTAAACTGCATGGAAATAAACATCTTATTCAAATATGTTTTGATGATTCGTTTGGTATTCTGGTGTAAAACTTAAAATGCCTTAATCTGAAAGCAAACAGTCGTTCTTGTTAAAAGGGAGATTTAGTGGCATTAAGAGTACTAAACATAATGATCTTGGTTTAAAAAAAAATATATTTGTAAATGCTGTGTGAAACATATATCCTGAAAACATGATAATATGGTAACGGCTATACAATAAATTTCAATTACCATGTATTAATCAAGAGGAAATTGTATTTTCAGTCTCCCTTCTACATAAGGAAATGACTGTACCAAGTCAGGAATATGACAGCTGTTTTCCATTCATTTCATGTGTTTGAGCTTTTGATATTTTTTTTTGCCATTTGATAAGGGACTTTCCGATTTAAATGATCCATGGAGTTCGGTTTTTTATTGTTATTTTACTTAGTATTTACTATACAATCATGTAAAATTCATGACCAAGACCTCTTCAGCTTTTTCATACTCTAGCCATCATATTCATTTTAATCAGTATAATGAACACATATCTTTCTTGAAAAATGAATGCCAGTTTTCTTATACGGTTTCACTTCATCGTTAAATTTGAAGCACCTTTTTCCATCAAAATGAACAGCTCTGCAGTCGTCTGACTTAATGCATTTATTTTCACATTCTATAAGAGAGGATTCTTCCCAAATTGATTCAATTTCATCGTCACGTCCTTTTGCATTTTTCATGGTGTTCATGTAGCATAAAACGCAACGTTTCACATAGAACTGGCTTTCATTGATATCATCTTCAATATGTCGTTGTAGATTGTAAACAAAACATAAGCTATTTTTCGACAGATATCGGAAGGCTCTGCAATCTTTTTCATCGTTGCATAGCCCTTCACATTTTTCTATATTATTTACTTTTTCAGCTTTTATGAGATTTTCATCTAAGCCTTTCATTCCGTTGATTCTGTGAGTATTACATTTTATTGATTGATTGATTGTTGGTTGCTTAACGCCCAGTGGCAAATTATTACATTTTAGGTCTGTAAATAAAAAGGATAGTAATAAACTAAATGTAAACTTCCCGGTTTCAGTAATGTAAATAATTGTGAGGCGCATTTGTAAATATATGAATTACAATGTTCACGAAGTTTAATGGTGAAGTTGATTTCATCCCTTCGTAAATTTTACGGACGCCATCACGAGTTGGTTGACCGTTATGGAATAACCGTTTCACAGATGATATCGGATATGTTCCTTATGTCGTAACTACAATACCCTACTTTTTCACGAATGTGACTTACAAAATTAGACCATTTACCGGATTGATAATAACATAAGCAACACGACGGGTGCCACATGTGGATCAGGATCTGCTTACCCTTCCGGAGCACCTGAGATCACCCCCAGTTTTTGGTGGGGTTCGTGTTGCTTAGTCTTTGGTTTTCTATGTTGTGTCATCTGTACTATTATTTGTCTGTTTGTCTTTTTATTTTTGGCCATGGCGTTGTCAGTTTGTTTTCGATTTATTAGTTTTACTGTCCCTCTGGTATCTTTCGACCTTCTTTTAATGGACAGCAATTGTATGTAAAGAAAACTGTTTTCGGCAAACTGCTAAAAGATTGGTCAAGCAAATTTGTGATCAAGTGAATATTCAAGTCGCAGCATTTGACGATTTTGTTTTCTATTTGTAACATTTTTTTCATTTATATATTTTCAACAGTTTGATGACTATGTTTTTATTGTCTTATAAGAAATACCTTCTTCTTTAATCCCGCATATAGCTGCACACAGTTGTGAAACAATAGATAACAACTTCATTGTCCCAAACCAGTTTCCGGCATTCACAACTCCTATCGGAAGAGCAGCAGGAAACACAGCAACACCACCTGCGGCGCCAAATCCTAATGCAGGTATTGCCAATGGGATTGCAACAACTGCACCTGTGTTAAATGCTGCCAAACACGTGGTGTAGCATGTGCTATCTTTCCTTTTCCAATTCCATGGCCAATCCAAACCTAGTAAATTATTCGTAGATAAAGTATTGTTATCCTTGGCAGAACTCATTCACTAAGTTGTTTATAAATTTTCAAAATTAAAATAGTATCTTACTGTTATTATATAAAATTTACAATTATTACAATTGTAAAGGCCAATTTAAGACATTAAGAAAATTATAAGCTACATATTTCTTTTTATAACTTATGATTTAATTGTTGCAGAAAATTATAGTTTTTTTTTCAAAGTTCCACAGTACCACCAGGATTCAAATGAATACTCTTGTGCAGTATAAACCACTGCCTACAAATATGTAAAAGTTAACTCTCCCCTGTTGTTCTCTTGAAATTATGTATGCTTCCATTACAAAAATAGTGTTGTGTCATTAACAAATCTTTGTCATTGTTGTAGGCATCACAATGATATATAGCTGCCTATATGCACGTCATATGAACTCTGGTTGACAGTTGCACTACACGAAAAGGCGAATTTACATTTATTTGCAAACATATGCAAATATTTGATAAAAATAACTCCTTTGCTGCCTCATATATTTACTTACTTATATGTGACATACAAAATACAGCTTGCATTTACATTTACACAATATTTGCGCAAATATTTTGTGCATGGAACCCTTATCTTTGCATTAGTTTATAAGTATCGAAAATATATATAAAGATTATACATATATTTGCATATGTTTGCATAGGTTCTACTACATCAATAAATTTGAATGTGCGTAGGTTTTATTTACGGTGGTATACGCAGTTTTTAGAGACCGCAGTTTATCGCTGCTTTCCATAGGTATTTAATTGTCCTAAATATAACAGTTGTAGTCTTTTCTTTCATTCGGATAGATATGTAAAATTTTACCTTCTATTTACATTGTTTTACCGAGGTATGCATAGCACTGTAAAAATATGTATTTGCACAATATATTTATTATGGTATGTGCAGTTTTAGAGACTATGGTTTATCGTTGCTTTCCATAGGTATTTAAGTGTTCTAAACATAACGGTTATATGTATAGTCTTTTCTTTCGTTTGGATATATATGTAAAATTTTCCACTTCTTTTCACAATGTTTTACCTAGGTATATATATCATATAAAAAAAGTATTTGCACAATATATTTTTATAGTATGCGCAGTTATGAGATACTGACGTTTACTATTTCTTTGCCTAGGTGTCAAAATTATTTAAAATCTTGTGGTTATTTTTCAACATTTTTGATGTGTTTGTTTATATGTGTAAATTTACTTTAATTTACGAACTTTTACAGGCGTATTCATTGTATTTAAATGATTAATATTTAGGTTATAAATTTGGTATGATATGCGTAGTATTCCAAAGCCAAAAATAAGCATACCTTTGAAAGGGTAGACAAACTATCGTAAATGAAACATCTATTTTTGTACACTTCATATAGTTTATTTTATTTCTTTGAAATGATATGTATATGCATTGTGTTTAAATTAGTTCGTTGGTTTTAAAGTTTGGAAGGTTTTGCACATTTTTGAAGACGATTTTCCTTATGGAAATTGACCACATATTCAACTATTTTTAATTTCTTAAACATATCATTGTCTTTTGGTTTAATGATTACCTGATATACCCCATAACCCCCCCCCCCCCCCCCCCCCCCCACCCCAAAATAAAATAAAATTCCAAAACGTCAAGTAATTGAAATAGAATAAATTAAAATAGTTATTGTGACTTGCAATAGGTAGTGAAAACTAACATAAACGTTGTTTTTGGATTTATCTTACACTTTTGAAAACTAATAAAAATTTAGGCCGTGATATGTTTAAGTCCATCTAAGATACTTTCAAAATTCATGGCCCATGTCTTTCAGATTGAGCCAATAAAATTATTCCCAGTATGTGTGATGTGCATATGACTTACATTGTTGTAGCGTCAATGATTTATTTGAATCTCGACTGATTAAGACCAATGTTTTAGATTTTTTAGATTTGTGGTTAATCATACACTGCTTGGACATTGGGGCCTATTAAGGAGCATTTATAGTGTCATTACCTTATGACTATTTTAGTAGGAATATCCCTTTAGACCGTCGGAGAATTAGTTAAGACGGTACAATTTTAATATGATAGTTTAAATACCAAGACTCAATAGAGCATTCCTGCATAATAATGTTATTTATTTTCAAAAAAAAATGATCTAGGGTAAACCTCTGAATGTCAAGAATATGTTTGTTTTGATTTCAATGAACATATTATTTAAAATATTTGTTTAATGTCTTTTCATTTAAACGACTTTTGAAAATATTGATACATGTAATAATTAAAACATGGATACTTCCATGATTAAAAGAATGCCAAGTTTGTTCATAAACCAAAAATGCTACATAAAAAAAACATTCATTGTAAAAAAATAGAGCAATGTTTATTATGATAACCAGACAAAACCATGCAGGAGTTCACACCACCATGGGGTACATCTTTGTCTTGGACAAAGATGTACCCCATGGTGATGTGAATTGCACTGATCTTTTTGGCATATTATTACCAGATGTGTGTACACAGAAATAATACAAATTATGTCAACATATATTGAGTTTTTTATCATCCATTTCCTTATTCTGAATTTTCTAATTTTTTTAATTTGTAAGATAATTACTAAGTTTAATAAACAAGTTGTAGTATTAAGGGAAAATATGAAATATTCAACCTGTTCCTATGATACAAAACATTAGCCCGTAGAAACGCCTATTAAATATTTTGTTTCCACTCCTTTGTAAGTCCAGCAAAGGTTGAAAAAAACGGCATGTTTACCTATTACCTTTAGTGAATGTCTGTGTATTGATTTAGATAATTGCCAGTGAATAGTGAAATCGTGAGCAAGACATTTTTGCCGGTCAACTGCATATTTCAAAACTTTGCAAACGAGATTTCTTAAATCAAAACAAGTGGCTAGTATATCACATGTATATATAAAAAACATTTAAGACAGTTGTGGAATGTCAAATATATGGCATATGCAATTTGCTGATAAATGGGTATCAAAAAGTGTAGAACTCAAATTACAAGATCAATATAAACAGTTATGTCTGTCAAATATCTGTATATCCCCAAAGGGGTTATATTATCGAATTTTTAAGACAGAAGTTAAGTTTGAAAACTATCTTAATATTTTACCATTTAACCATTTATATACTCTGTGCAAATTTAGATGTGGTAGTCATCGGTTGCCAATTGAAACGGGAAGATGGCAAGGTATTACGAGAGACAATAGAGTATTCCATCTTATTGATTCTAATGATATTGGCAACGAATACCACTACGTTATGATATGTCATAGTATGAAAGCTGATAGAAAAAAATTCTTATCTGAATATTTTTGGAAATATCCAAATACGTGTAAATTTAATCTGTTGTTCAATTGCACAAATGCTATACAACTAGAAAAGCTGTGCAAATTTATTAAAATCATTAATGTGAAAGTCAGTCCTCAGTTAAATTGTATATTTTGTAATTCACACATGCATGTTATAATATTTATGTATGTAAAATGTATAATTCTCTTCAACTTTGTATTTAGTTTATGAGAATAAAGTTCAGTTCAGTTCAGTAAATAACGGAACATTCAAAATAATTTTCAGTCAATGTGGTTATAGACATGTAGGTCGTAGAAGTTATATGACTGTTTAGAAAAGTGAGAATATGAAGGAAAGACATCTAGTCTATTAAATGTGTAGACTGAAATTTTTTAGTCGGTTTGTCTACGAGCCGACGATGATCTGGTGTTATTATATAATTATAAACAGTAAGTGTATATAATATACTTTATAGCTTTAATTGCTTTAATTATCGGTGTTGCTTGATTAAATTAACCAACAAATATTGTTCCGTAGCTGGTTCCCTCCCGTCTACATTTTCTAAGTATGCGGAAATACAATTAATGAATTTCGGCCTACGGCCAACTCGCACCACACACACTCGCACCAACTTTTATCAACTCACATTACTTTATCAAGCTCATACCACAAAAAAAAAAGAAATATTACAATTTCGCACCTGTCCACTGAAAAAATGTTTTAATCATCAAAGAGTACGAGAAAGTCTTCTTCTTCTACCAATTATTTCCTCCTTTTTCGGGGCACATGTGTTGCACAGAGACAGAACTGCATGGCACCACTAAAAAAACAGAAGCTATCAAATGGACATTAAAACTTGGATGGAGAGTTGTCTCATTGGCACTCATACTACATCTTCTTATTCATATAAAAACTCCTTATTAAAGAATAACAGTCAATGTAATGCAAACGATTAAAATCATAAATACAAACTAATAAATTTGATCAACATCATGCGTCAGCACAAACAACAGTTTGAGAACTGACATGAACCCAACTGCACGATGAAGGGATGTGCTATATATAACCATAAACATTTCAAGTATCATTTAAACCGCGATCGCGCGGTATTCTTCTAGTATTCTTTAAGTCGGTCACCCATAAATTCTCACCAGCCGAATCATTTATGAAAGCAAATGTGCGAAAAATAAAAAGTGGAAAGCTTACAATATCTCTTCACATAAATGATTCTATTTAAGTTATCACTGTGGTGACTTACATGTATTTCCATTTTTAATTATCGTGCATGCCTGCATTAGAAAGTCGTGCGCAACAATTTGAAAGTCATCTGCACCAGTTAGTTGGCAAGTCTTAAAAAACACTGTCAGACACTAGAGATATCAATACGGCTCGAACAAGTTTTAAAAGGGTTGTCAGACGTCAAAGCACTCAGACTTCTACTTAAAATGCAAAAAAAAAAATAGGCTCAACTACGATAGTTTGCTGGTATATGCGTCGGTCTTTCTGATGTTTGTCCGTCCGTTCGTCCGTTCATCCTTCCGATCCGGATCCAGATAAAGATTTTGGACAAGGTAGTTTTTGATGAAGTACAACACCGAAACTTAGTACACATGTTCCTTATAATGAGGTCTTTCATAGTTGTTTATGACCCCAATTTTACGTTTCACTTAATTTGAAAATA